TTCTCTTTATTCATTCTGAGAACAGCCCCGGGATTGGGATACGGCCTCATCTGAAACAAAGGTCCCGATGCCGTCGAGTCCACACCACTCTTGACGTCGCCCTTCTTATCCAAGCCGTCCGACCACTTGCCTCGAGGAATGTCAGAATAGGCCGACGGATCCATTGGATCCAAATCATTGGTCTTCCTAACGGTGCGGCCCTTCGTCTGTCTCTCTCTATTCCTATCTTTTATTCTCGATTTACTACTATTCCTCTCATTCCTGTCCGACTCCTCGGAATCGGTGTCAAAGTTGTCGTTAGAATTGTCTGAAAGTTGTGAATCAGAATCAGATCCGTCGGCGTCGTGTTCTTCATCGTCGTCTCTCAACAAACCTTTTTGTATCACAAAATCAATGAATGAGTGAAAATGAGCTAACATTTGACTCGTTATATGTATTACTCCTGAGTTTGTCGGCCGATAACGAGATGCGAGCGTTCGGGTGATGCGGCGGAAGCCATGAGACCTCATCCGTCTCTGTCTTCCAGTAATAAAAACAATGTCTAAAAAGGTTTCAAATTTAATACAATCTTCTTAAACCTTATATAATACTAGTCTTACACTCCCGGGTCATACACTTCCTGCCAGCCCTCAGGCAATGGATATCTTTTGAGAAGTCTTTGATATTTTCGTCTCGTTTTAGGCGACGCCTCTTCACATACTTCTGAATACCTCTTATGGCAATAGAGAGAGCAGTCGTGATATATATTGTATTTGTTGGGACAGCCTATCACTGAAACACCACTCTTGGCCTCAAACCGGTTGTCGTCATAGTCTTCAGCAATCACTTCTTCCAGTTGTTCTACGGGTTCATCAAAACCACACTTTCAGACACAACACAAATACAAGTGAATTGAATGCAAACCCAAATCCTTTGGTGTCTTGTCTTCGACCGCTTTGACGCCAAGGATTCCTCTCTTTTGGAGTCTTTGTGCCAAAGCTAAGGGAAGCGGCATTTGATGGCTGGATGTGCTTTGGGTGACAATCGGGTGACAACTGACAGCAAACTGTGTTTATGTGTGACTGAAGTCATGCGCAGACGTGTCGTGGGTTTAAAGGCCTAACAGTTAATGTCATCCAATGTTGTCATTACTATTGACTCGTTGTTTGCAATCATCACTCAATTGTCGTTATCTTTGATTATCTTTGAGTTTAACCACCATTTCTTTGTGTAATAATAAATATTTATTGAATCAGTGTCTGCGAGACCTGTCGGTGCGATGGAAGCGGTGCCTAAACTACCGATGATTTACTTTGAGCTCAAAATAAGTCCCGTTTGTCCGGACTTTGCCTACGGAAAGTTCTCACATTAGAAGAAGTGACAATAGAGTAAGTATGGTAACTAACGGTAAAGTAACAGAAATACATGATTAACTACGGAAAATAGGGAACAGAAGTTATTACCAAATCAAATATAGAAAACACTATTCAGAAGACGGAAATTCATACGAAAGAGAGATCAATGAATTGGAAGCGCTTAGAAATGTATGTTTTCTTCAAGTTGTGGTCAATTGTCTCTAATTGTGTGACATTTATATGTCTTAACAGAAGGCCAGTCGAGTGCCTCGAGATTTCACCGGTTGTTCTCTTCTCAAGAGATATTACTCACAGATATATAGTCTTCTGAACCGGTTTTCGGCGTTTGACACGAATCTGGGAGTGGAGTGCGTTTGGGCCGACATATACTCCGGTCAGACACTCATCGGTGATCTGGACTTTGAGTTGTCGTGTGTTCTCTACAACATCGGTGCCCTTCACGCAGAGTTGGGTGCCCTCGACCTCAGGAGCACCGCTGACAATATGAAGGTCTCGTGCACTCACTTCCAGTGTGCGGTCTGGGCTTTCCAGCACTTGAGAGACGATAACCGGCTCTACAAAAGCAAAGACATGTCTCACGAGTTGCTCTCATTCTTCGTTCAAGTGATGCTATCACAGGCACAGGAATGCATTCTTGAGAAGTCTATGTTAGACAACAGAAAGTCATCGATTGTGGCCAAAGTAGCCGCTCAAGTGGTCGAGTATT